CTAAGTTATGGGTTTGTTTATTAAATCATTTTTTCTAAACATTCTTCAAAGTTTATGGTTTGTTTATTAAATCATTCTTTCTAAACATTCTTCTAAGCTATGGGTTTGCTTATTAAATCATTCTTTCTAAGTATTCTTCTAAGGAAAGGCAGGAAAATTTAAGGAGAGTTGCCGGGCGGAGACACGAGAGAGAAGGAAAAAGACAGGGAAAATTTAAGGAGAGTTGCGGAGCTTGGGGTTTCCTTTCCAGCTTTCTTCTAAGTTATGGGTTTGCTTATTAAATCATTCTTTCTAAGCATTCTTCTAAGGAAAGACAGGAAAAGTTTAAGGAGAGTTGCCGGACGGAGACACGAGAGAGAAGGAAAGACAGGAAAAGTTTAAGGAGAGTTGCGGAGCTGGGGGTTGCAGCTTTCTTCTTCTGCTTATAAATCTCTCTTTCTAAGCTTTCTTCAAAGTTTATTGGTCTGCTTATTAAATAATTCTTTCTAAACATTCTTCTAAGTTTATGGGTTTACTTATTAATAATTCTTTCTAAGCTTTCTTCTAAGTTATGGGTTAGCTTATTAAATCTTTTCTAAGCTTTCTTCAAAGTTATGTTTTTTTGCTTATTAACCTGCTTTCTAAGCTTTCTTCCAAGTTATGGGTTTACTTATTAAATCTCTCTTTCCAAGCTTTCTTCTAAGGAAAGACAGGAAAAGTTTACGGAGAGTTGTCGGACGGAGACACGAGAGAGAAGGAAAGACAGAATAAAGTTTAAGGAGAGTTGCGGAGCTTGGGGTTTCCTTTCCAGCTTTTCTTCTAAGTTATGGGTTTGCTTATTAAATCTCTCTTTCTAAGCTTTCTTCAAAGTTATGGGTTTGCTTATTAAATCTCTCTTTCTAAGCATTCTTCAAAGTTATGGGTTTGCTTATTAAATCATTTCTTTCTAAACATTCTTCAAAGTTATGGGTTTGCTTATTAAATCATTCTTTCTAAACATTCTTCAAAGTTATGGATTTGCTTATTAAATCTTTCTAACATTCTTCTAAGTTTTGGGTTCGCTTATTAAATCTTTCTTTGCTTAGAAAGTGCTTATTAGTGATAAATAAAATGACTGATCTCTATATATTTATTTGTGTCTGCATCTACATCTAATATCTGTATACAAGTTTGTGTATGTAAACAATATCTATCAATCTATTTTTTCTTTGGGGGTGAAATCAGGGAGGTCAAGAGTCAAGGCATATTTTTTATTTTGTGCAGTTGGGTATATTTTTATTAATTGTATATCTATTACTATGTGTTATTTCTTGTACACGGACTCGTTCAGTAATGATAATAATACATGATTTTTTATTTAGACATCTATTCACATGTACTGTACGATATAGACGCGTTCAAGTGTCGATCGCAGCCACAATTGCTAGGAAAAAGTAAACAGAATTTCACTGAAAAAGAAAATATATATTTATATTTTTCTCCTGAGTATTTTTTTTTTTTTTTTTTTTTTTAGTTACGGAACCCATGTAGCAAATAAAAAAAAATAATGAAAGCAGTAGTATAGATTTTTAAACTGAGGTAAATTAGAGGGAAATACATAGGAGGGAAAAGAAACAAAAAGAAGAAGAAGAAAAAAAAGATTTAGTAGAACCATGAGCAAATAAAAAGTACAAAAAAAAAGTAGGAAAGATCTGCTTCAACAAGCACTGTCGAACAAACACGGAAATCTCAAGAAAAAGAACAGTTTTTTAAGCAAATCGTTTTTTTTTTTTTTTATGACGAGAGTTATGACGACACAGCTTTAGTCAGGAACCAACGGCGATGAATATAAAAGTGAAAGGATGTCAGTTGACAGAGGAGAGAAAATGAAAGCTTGGGTGGCACGTGTTGGGATTCTGAACAGACAGATAATGCGAGAAGTGCTAGCAGGTATTATTCTTTTTTTTAATTTTTTTTTTTTATTCTTCCTCTTCCCCCACAATTCTGTTTTTCTATTTTCTATTTTATTTTCCTCTTCTCCCTCAGTTTACCCTTTTTTTTTTCCTTAAGGCTCTCCTTTTTTAAAGTTTCTCTCTCTCTCATTTCTCTCTCTTCTCTCTCTCTCTCCTCTCTCCTCTCATCTCCTCTATCTATCTCTCTTCTCTCTCTCTCTCTCTCTCTCTCTCTCTCATCTCTCTCCTCTCATCTCTCTCTCTCTCTCTCTCTCTCTCTCATCTTCTCTCTCATCCTCTCTCTCTTTTCTCTCCTCCTCTCTCTCTCCATCATCTCACAACTCCTCTCTTGTCTCTCGTCTCTCTCTGCTCTCGCTCTAATCACTCTCTCGTCTCTCCTCATCGTCTCTTCCTTCTCGCTCACTCACTCTCTCCTCTCTCTCTCTCACAACCAGGGGAAGGCGAAGCGAGACGAAAGATGCCCTCTCTCCTCTCGGTCTCGTCCTCTCCTCTCCCTCTCTCTCTCTCTCTCTCATCACCTCTCCCTCACACACTCTCTCGATCGTCTCTCCCTCTCTCTCTCTCTCGTC